TAGGTGGTATGCACAGTGCTCAGGTGCGTGTGCAGGGCTGCGTGTTCAGGTGCGTGTGCAGGGCTGTGCACTGGAGTCCCTGGTGCCGGCCACTGGACACGGGCGCTGCCCCGGGACTCCGTGCTGCTCGGGGCTCTCCGGGCTGCTGCGCCCAGCTGCCCGGGAAGACGCTGGCTTCGTCTCCGAGCCAGGAGCCGCTGCTGGGTTTCACGTAGGAGGGCGGACAGAGGGTGCGCGGGGCGAGGGGCGGTTCTGGAGGCTGTGGTGGGGGACAGGGCAAGCCGAGCTGCCCGCTTCCGATCCAGCTTCCTGCTCGTGCACACCCTGGGCGGCAGCAGGTGATGGCTCAGCTGCTGAGTCCCTGCACCCAAGCAGGAGACGCAGAGGTCCAGGCTGCTGGCCCCCACGGCCCAGACTCAGCCATTGGCGGCATTCGGGGAGTGAACCAGTGGGTGCAAGTCTCTCTCTAACCAAGTGAAAATACATTTTAAAAGCGTGTCTAAGCTGGTAGCTCTTAATGAGGTCTGCAGGGGGGTCTCCAGCATCCCCCCAGGGGCCTGGCCTGGCCTCACTCAGAGCAGGCAGCCGGCAACCCGGGGCTGCGGGGAGGGAGGTGGCAGCGGAAGGCACTCCCGCTCCCAAGGGGCCTGCACTGGCACACGGAGTACAGCGTGGAGACAGGGCCCAGGCTCGCTCTGGGGACCCTGTCTCCCCTTCCCAGTGGAGGTGGGCACTGCTCTGGGAGGCAACAGACTATTGTACATGTCATTCCCTGGGGAACGGCCCTCACGAGTGAGGAGACCCCACGTCTGAGCAGTAGGGGTCTGCCTGGGGGAGACTGGGAGTTCCACGCAGAGCCTGGGTTGGGCCCAGCCTGGGGGGTGGGAGGGTGGGGCTACTCACCGTGGCGCACCCTGCGGCATCTGGTCCTGGACGCGGAGGTTTTTGGCTAGGATCTCCACCCTGGGGCCCTGGCAGGAGGGAGCCGTCAGCCCAAGGCCGTGCCGGGCATGTGAGGATGCACAGGGGCTGGGCGGGGACCGGTGTCCTTGTCCCCCGGCAGCTCACCTGCTTCCTCATGATGTCGGTGGCCTGCATGATGCACTTGGGCAGCAGCCCGTGGCTCCGCGCCAGGATGGCCGCCTGCTCCAGGGACACACTCAGGGTGCTCCTGTAGGGGGCGACGGAGACGCTGGGGATCCAGGGACCTCCCTACCCCACGGGGAGCCCCAGGTGGTTAGGCCAGGTGCTGTCGTGGAAGCTGGGGCCCAGCAGGGGGCGCAGCAAGTCCCCCCCCCCAAGAGCCGGCCATGCACTAGGGGGGCCGGGACAAAGGAGCCCCAGCACGCTACCCTGTGTGGGAGCCTTGAAGC